GTATCATTATTATTGAGAACAGAGTTAGGAATTTTGGACTCCTGGTGTGGTGCTGTAGGACCAGCACTGAACAATGACATCTATATTGTTATTGTTCTATGTACTGATTAATCAGTTCTGGTTCATAGCAACCGGTGCAGGGTTTCTGAGGAGCAACTCTTGGGTTTGAACCACTGATCTTGTGGTTATCTGTCCAGTGCTTATCCTACATGGCCAATCACAAGCTGACAAAAAAAAAAAAAGTTTTTTCCAGAGAGGTTGTTGAGTCTTATATTCAATAAATATTCGGGTATTAATTTAAATAATTCCAGTTAACACACTGACTGAGCTTTTTTTGAAAATATAAATGGTGACTATTCTGAAGAATAGTAATACAAAATAATATTTTATATGAGTTATGACTGAAAAATTCAAACATGCTTCTACCTGTGTTATTTTAATTCTCAAAATACTATATGGAACAAATCCCTTTTAATAATTGATCAAACTTAAGCTTGAGAAAATTACATTACATGGAAACATCACTGCTAATTTTGCTTCTTACAGAGTGCTTTGGGGGGAATCACAACTACCCCTTAGTCCAGTTTTAACAGCCCCATTCATTTCTTACTGTATTCTACAGATAGGAGACAACATTTGCATTCTATGGCTATATGTGTAATACTGGGCTTTCCAAAATTTGGCAATAATTCTTTTTCTTTGGTTTAAAGATATGCCAACATACATGTATACGATGTTTAAATACCCAGCCTAGCAAGAGAGTTAATCTGACACATTTTGATGAAGGGACTTGATACATTTTAATATCTAAGAATTTTCTTCTAGAATATTAAAAGCAAGGCAAACCAATTCTAATACTATCCAGGCCTGATGATATGCTTAAGCTTTGGGAAAATCCAATAAAGAATTTCATCACTTTATCGACATCTCAGTTGTTTTATCTTTCTTTCTGTCTTCCACTAACCATTTCATTTATATGTACTCGATTCTGTTGCTTAAACTGCATTTTTCCAAGATTCTGTTGTCCTTATCCTATGTGTCAGTCCATATTTACTTTGCCTATTGAATTTATATCATTTACTATCAGTCTAGAGAGTAAAATCAGCAACAAACAAAACAATAAAACCAAATAATGCAAAAGTCCTCGTAAAGCCAACAGTACTCAAGTGACTTTTGAAATGTTGGAGACAAGGAATCAGTGAACTCAGAATCTTTCTCACAGCTGAATTTCTTTTGGAACTGCAAGCATTTCTCCAAAGGTCCTCCTGACTTTCTGCCACAAATTATACCTGTTTTGTGTTCTAGATCTCTATTTTGTGGAAAAGGAGTAAGATTAAAACAAAATAAAAAGCCAAAATGATTTAAAATCTATGTAAGATTTTAATTTGATTACATATTAATCAAAGGTATGTTTTGACTAGTATGAAAATTATTGAGCATACTTTGGTAGTGTATATGACTGAGTCCACAACAACATAACAATAGTCACAAACCTAATTTTCTCTAATTTTTTACTTGCTATATCAGTGCTTTTGAGTCCTGGTGTGGCACTGTGGGTTAATGAGCTGGACCACAACATCAGTTTGAACCCCAAGGTGGGTTGTTCAAGCTTACCAGCTGCTCCTCACAAACCCTATACAGGGTGACTATAGGTCAGAACTGACTCGACAGCACTTAACTGCTACAGTAATACTTTTGAAATCTCTTTTAAAAAATGCATCACTTCTATTACTTTGATTGAGAATGATTATCAAAGTTTTTCCCCTGATTATTTTGTAATATTGATATGATAAGTGCAAGGAATTCTTCCTTGGATATATTCAACACTGTATTTGTCACATTTCCTTTCTATAAAACAGGCTAGGGATTTGTCCCATTTTTACTATGAGTCTAGTACTTTCTTTCACCCATGGAACAGCTGTGCCGGGATCCCTAAGAATGTACTTTCTTTCACCCATGGAACAGCTGTAGCTCGGGATCCCTAAGAATGCCAATGAGATGTCCTAACAGCTCTTATCGGCCTGTCAGGACCTGCTGTTAGTACTCCTCATACTCATTTTAGATGGGTATGCAGAAATTTGCATGGGCCTTATATACACACACACACACACACACTAGTTTGCTGGTGGTTTTTGTCTAATTCTTGCATTGTTCAAGGTTTTTGGAGGTGTATATGTGTGACATTAGATCTTGTTACTTTGAAAGAATACTTGCAAAGACATAGAAAAGAAAATATATTAACATCCATCCTTAAATAGATGGTAAAGTAACCATCAAATATTCAGGGTAGACATATATAGGAGTTCCTGGGTTGTGTAAATGGTAAACAATCATAGCTACTAGGAGTGCAGATTAATGCATTGGACTGTAAGGTCATTATGAACTACAAGGTCAGCAGTTCACGCTCACCAGCTGTGCCTCAGAAACCCTATACAGGGTTACTATGAGTCGGAATAGACTCAACAGCAATTGACAACAACTTAAACACTCCTCAGAAGAAAAGGTTGGCAGTCTACTCATAAACAGTTAGCCACTGGAAGCACTATGAGGCACAGGTTTTCTCTGCCATCAATGGAATTATCATGGGTCATAGTCAACTTGATGGCAATTGGTATATGTATATACATACACTCTATAGTATATTGGCATTCATTTTATTACTTCTAGAAATTCATACTACTCATTTGAACTTTGATGAAGATCAAAGAGCACAGTCTTCAGTATGGATTGCATCTCAATGTAAAGAAAACAAAAATGTTCACCATTGGACCAATAAACAACATTCTTATCAATGGAGAAAAGATTGAAGTTGTCAAGGACTTCATTCTTCTTGGGTCAACTATCAACACTCATGGAAGCAACAGTCAAGAAATAAATAATGTATTTCATTAGTCAAATCTGTTTTCCAAGACCTTTTTAAAGTGTTGAAGAGCAAAGATGTCAGCTTGAGGACTAAGGTGCACCTGACCGAAGCCATGGTATTTTCAATTACCTCATATGCATGTGAAAGCTGGACTGTGAATAAAGAAGACTGTAGAAGAATTAATGCTTTTGAGTTATGGTGTTGGAGGAGAATATTGAAAGTGCCATGGGCTGCTAAAAGAACCAACAGATTTGTTTTGGAAGAAGTGCAACTAGATTGCTCCTTGGAGGCTAGGATGGCCAAACTTCATTCTGATACTTCAGACATATTGTCAGGAGGTACAAGTCGCTGGAGAAGGATATCATGTTTGGTAAGATGAAGGGTCAGAGAAAAAGAGGAAGACCCCCAGTGAGATGGATTCGCCAAGTGGCAGCATCAATGGGCTCAAGCGTGGCAACAATTGTGAGGTTGGCCCAGGATCGGGCAGTGTTTCATTCTGTTGTGCATAGGGTTGCTATGAGTCAGTAGCGACTTGATGGCACTTAACAACAGCAACAACAACAACAACACTTGCACTTGTTATTTTATGTTTCTTTTATATATAGACAAACATTTTGGTGTGCTGTTCTGTGATACCATAACACAAATTGTCCATCAATGACAGAGAAAATTCCAAAGACTATGAAAACCTATTACGCAGAGGTTTGACAAAACTGGTTTCTCATTGCTAGTCCATTATTCTGGCAGCTGTGGAGAGTGAGGATGAAAGGGCTGAGACCCATTTGTATGCTCCAAATAATGGTGGCTCTTTGTAGAGCTTAAAGAAGGCAAGGGATGAATTGGACTTAGATTTATTTAAGAGACAGGAGATCAACCATATTCAAATGTTGTTCTTGATTTTATTTTATGTATTACTTAGGATTGATTGGAGTCCTAGTGTGGTGCTATAGGATAAGCACTGGATCTCAAGGTTGGTCAATGGTTCAAACCCACCAGCCATTCCTCAGAAACCATCTACAGAGTTACTATCAATCAAAGTTTACTCAACGGAACTTAATGACAGCAACAAGGATTGATTAAACAGTTACTTTATGTTCCCTTAAATATTTAGTCTCACAAACCCCATACAGGACTGTTATGAGTCAGAACTGACTCCATGGCACACAACCACCGCCACCACCAAATAATATATATAAAATACTATGAGTAACCCTCTCCCACCTGCCACTACATGGTAGAAAGAAGAGACTCTGTTCCCCCAAAGATTTACAGCCTCAGAAATCCTATGCTGCTATTACTTGCCATTGAGACTGTTCTGACTCATAGCTATCCTGTATAATGTTTCTGAGGAGCAGAAATAAATATGAGTTGGAAATAACTTGATGGTACTTAATGATAAGAACAAGAAACTATCATCTTAATCTTATAGCTACTTTAATTTTAAGAAAAATATAGAACATAATCAAAATACATAAAATCTATTCAGTGCCTTTGAGTCAGTTCAGACTCATAATGACCCTGTATAGCGTTTCCAAGGAGTGGCTGGTGGGTTTGAATCTTGACCTTATGGTTAGCTATCCGGTGCTTATCATACTGTGCCACATTAGATATTTAATAAAATCTGGTCTTATCCCATGTGTACTCACTCACAAACTAAATTCCACTTTCATTGCTTTCTTACCATTTTAGCAATATGAATATGAACAGGCAGATGAAAAGCTAATTTATCTGCAGCACTTCCAAAGCTGAAGCAGAACTGCTCATCTTCATATTGTACAGTGCAGAACTCTCTCTATAACTGAGGAACAGGAAATGTTCAACATGAGGAAATGATCTTGAAAAACTTTATTGACACTGAATGACATAGACTGACATTCAAGTTGTATGTATGTGTGAATGTGTGTGCACACTTGTGGTGGGTGTACTTATAGAATAGAAATTCTAATCTGAATACAGTTCTCTGTGGGATGTTGTGTATTTTCCTTGAAAGTAAACTATTTCGTTTTTTAACAACAAAATTTCATACCCATGTTGTCTTTAAACCTTTGACAAGTATTTGAAAATGGAACATCTAGTAGTAATAAAAGTGGCTTGGATAGAGATCAGAATTGATAATATTTATCCTCCTACCCCCCAGGTCAAGCTAATGCCTCCTGCTCCAAATGATGACTTGGCAACCCTCAGCGAGCTCAATGATGGCAGCCTGCTGTATGAAATTCACAAGCGCTTTGGGAACAATCAAATATATGTGAGTTCCTTTGAAATTGTTTTTTTGCAATGTTTTTGTTTTGCTACATGTTTTTGTCCTCCTTCGATGTACAAATATTAGAAGTAAAGGGCTTATATAAGTGGTGTTGGTTATGGCAGTGGTTTAAAGTGGATTTCTTAGCGTTCACTTTCATTCTTTGGTTTAGTTATAAGGTAAGTTCACTAAAGATCTAAATTTCAGAGTTGTTCATTGAAAGTCAATACCTTGAGAGTAGATTCTAGTACTCACCACTACCACATATCCTATGCCATGATTGTGAAGGAAGAAGATCTTGCTAGATCCAACAGCATGATCTAAAAGATCACAGCATGATGTAAAAAGCATTGTTTGTCTCATCTACTTTAAGGTAGCTTGCTAGATCTGGCTTAGGAATTTCAGGAGGATAAACTGACTGGATGCAGAACTGCCTCTCTTTTTGCAAGGAAGGTCACTGTTGCCCTAAATGATCAGAAAATGTCTTTATAAAATAAAAAAATTTTACACCACTATCTGATAACAAAAATACAATTTAGATGATAAACTCTGTGTGGAGAATCAGTTTGCTGTGGTTGTATCCTCTTTCATATGTAGTATTTTTCCAAGTACTGATAATGATTTAGGTACCCTATAACTTTTCTCTCTTGCTATGAATCCTTGCATCTCCCTTTCTTTCTCTACTACTCTCTCTGATTTTGCCATATCCAACATCATATTCAACAGCAGTTCAATCAGAATGTCTATAGAGACATATGATTATCCCTTTTGTGGAAAAAAAAAAAACAACACAAAAAAAACGGATTTTTTTCCTACTCTACTGAGAAATTGATTAAGTAATTTTCACTTAAATTGTGAACTCTGAAATTGCCCTACAGGTAATAAGTTGTCAGATGCCAATTCTCCAATGACAATTCAGTTCAGCGGCTTAGTTATTAGATGAATTGTTAGCCACTGTAAATACACTTAAAGTTGAATACTTTTATGGAAATTAATGGAGTTGATTTATTGGAATAGAGTGATGTAACGCAATCACTTAGGTCTCTGTTACCTTCCTATTGGCTTATAAAGTGTGTAACAGATTTACTCTGCTTCCTGATCTTTTCCAGCATTATGGATTTTTTTACATCTTAACTACAGTACTGCAAGACAACTGCTTGAAATGTTTTTTATTCTTTATCTTGCTTTTCAAGGGATGTTGTCTCCTAAATAGCCGTTTAACCTTCTTTCAGTCTCTAAGGCCTCTGTCACATGACCAAAGCTACCATCATCCCTTCATGAGTCATCTCAGACAGCCACATAACTTTCAAGGGAAAACTCCATCCCTTCCAATCCAATCTCCAGAATGAAGCAGTGTAGTTTTTGTCAAGTAAGAATGTAAGTCTTTTTATTCCCCGTCTCAAAATTCTTCTAGTTCTTATTATTTTTTATGGAAAGAAGACCAGAATCCTTACTGTAGAGTCTAGAATTTAGATGGAAGCGTTTTACAATCTGGCAGTTGAGCCCTACACTAACAACTCTTAACCACTACATAAAAAACAGGTGATCTTTGCCCTATTTCTTGCATCAGGGCCTTTTAAAGGCTGTTTTCTTTCCCAATAATGTTCTGCTTTTACTGCCATAAAGTACTTACCTTCATAAACAGTCATTCAAATGTAATTTAGTTCCTTAAGTAAACTTTTCCCGTTTAGATTACATTATTATAGGCGTCCTTCCTTAACACACTTATCACAGTTCCTGATGTTATTGTTGTTGTTATGTGTCGTGGAGTTGGTTCCGACTCATAGCGACCTTGTACAGGGTTTCTGAGGCTGTAAATGTTTATGGGAGCAGAGCTCCTTATCTTTCTCCCGTGGAACAGCTCTTAATTTCAAACTGCTGACCTTGTGGTTCGCAGCCCAATTTGTAACCACTACGCTACCAGAGCTCCATCCTGATGATATACCTCGCTGGAAGTTTAGAACAGGCTGAACTGGAAGGTTGGTGATTTAAACTCACCAGCTACTCCTCAGAAACCCTATACTGATTGAGTTGCTAAGAGTCTGAACCCACTCAGTGACTCTGCACAACAACTACAACTAGCTCATCTGAGTCATGGTCTGACTTTTCCATACACTGAATCATCTTCAGAGATATTCTTTTCTGTTTTCACTATTTATCTATATAATCAGGATTGATATGCTCTTCCTTTTTAAAGTTTATGTATGATAGAAATTGGCCATAGTGGGAACTATGGTTTTCTTCCTGGTGTAGCGTTATGATTAATGCACTGAACTGCAAGGCTGGTTTGAAACACAAGGTCGGTGGTTCAAGCTCACCAACAGCTCCTCAGAAACCCTGTGGAAGGGTCACTGTGAGTCAGAACCAACTTGATGGCACGTAGCAACATGTCTAGATTATTACAGCTACATAGTGTAGACTCAAATTTCTTATAGGATTGTTTTAAATTATGGTGTCTGAATTTACTTCTAATGGATAATTAAACAAGTTAAACTTAATGGATTCATAATAAGTCCTGCTCAATGTGTAGTGTTTGGTTCCAATATGAGGGGACTTCAAAAAATTCATGGAAAATTTCCCTGTCTTTCACCTTCACATTTCCATTAACTTTTCAAAGCCTCATTCAGATACATAATATTTTTTCTTTTTTTTAATGCATATGGGTTCTTTTTTTTTTTTTTTTTTAATTTTTTATTGTGAATTTTGCAATAGCTTACATGGGAGAACATTAGTTTTATGTTCATTCTATATCGTTTCATTGCCATGGTTACAATCCCCTCCATGCATTATCAACCAACCAAAGGGTATACACTACAAGCCTGCATCCCGGTCGTCAGCATACAACCCCTATCCCTCTCTGGATCTAAAGTCTCCATCTCTCCACGTCATCATCTCTGCCTCCTTCTCTGGCATCACTGCTTCTCTGGGTAGGGTCCTGCTCTCAGCTCTTCTCCATTGATGGTCCCAGGGGCCTCCACTCCTACACTGAAATGTTAATCACTCCTCTCCTTGCTATAAAACACCTACCTTTACATTTCCAACCCTCACAATCAGTCCTGATAACAATTATTCACTATTGTATCACAAGAGACCTATCCCCATCTCCTTTCATCAGCCCCGCCCAGACAGATTGGCTACTACTCACTGGAGTGTCTACCTTCCCCCATACCCTCTGGATCTAAGTTCCCACTTGAAAGCTTGTAAGCCAGTCACTTCTTGCCTTTGTAGCCCCACCACCACCACCATTTTGGGTAGCCAATGTCCAAGTTGCCCATTCCTGTATACTCTGTGTTTGGAGGGGGTGGGAATGATCCTTGCTGTAAGGATTTGTTTAGTCTGTTGAGCTACTGCATCCATAGGTGTAGGTTAAATTCATAAAATTGTATCAGATTACTCCTTTTTTTTTTTTTCCCTCTTCTATCTTCTTCTGATTGAGCTCTGATCATCCAGTCATTGAAGCCAGGTCAAGTGGGTATTATCTGCAAGTGTGGGTGATACATAATATTTTTACTGTCAGTCTGCAATATGAACTGTTAGGAAGTTTTATAGCAATTTGCGCATTTAATCTCAGTCAGCTCATGCAAATTTGGTCTTGTATTTTTTGGTTTTGTCTTTTTCAATTTCATTATTCTAGAAATTCATTTTTACTGTATTTTACAAAAGTATCAGTCTATGATGAATTAGAGATAAAACACATTGTTCTTTCTCCAAAAATAGAAAAATACTGATCTAATTTTTAAAATCTCAAAAAACAAAGCCTAAGTCTAGTGCCAGTGAGTTGATTTTAACTCACAGCAGAAAACAGGTATACTCCCAACAAGATGTATTGGCACAGGAGCAGCAGCAATGGGCCGTGTTTCCTACTGTTTTGTATAAGGTCCCTATGAGTTGGCACTAGCTTGATGGTGCCTATCAACAACAGCAACAACAACAAATATCATTTTTATTTTGCTTATTTACATTCTTTATTTTGTGTTCTACCTTGTTCTCTCCTTGCTTCCACACACACATACACATGCAACTTCAATGCTGTATCTCTATAGTACGCAGTAGGTGCTACGAAGGAGCCTGGTGTGGCACTGTAGGATAAGACTAGACGGCAAGGTTGATTTGAACCACAAGGTGGCAGTTCAAACCCATCAGCCACCACTTAGAAACTCTGTGTCAGGTTGCTGCGAGTTGGAACCACCTGTAAGGTATTTAACAACAACAGGTACTAGGTATTTAAATATTGAATGAATAGCTAGATCTCTTTGACCAAATACATATTCTTAGAACAAGAATGAAATTGATATTTATGTATCAAAGAAACTAGGTTGGTCAGTAACTTCCATCAGAGCTGGTATAAAACTCATATTTCAACTAAATGACTTGTCTGTCTAATAGTTTCATCTTTTCTTGCTGCAGTCTGATTTGTTATGCAATATGATCCTTCAAAAACATGCAAAGACTCTAAATATTGTGTTAAGTATATAAAGTGATCCATTTGGACATTGGAGTGGGAAGTTTCCCATATAGTCTGTAACTGTGGACGTTCCCAAATCTCCAAACAGGAAATGAATTGTAGGTGTTGAGGCATATGCTTGCTATGAAATGTACAAAACAAAACAAAAACAGCATTGGATTCTCTGAGCAATTACTGCCGTCAATAACAGGCAGAATAAAATATATAATCAAATTCCTTTATGAAGGTGGATAAACATGTAGGCAGCTTTTCTTCTAGAAACACACAAGTAGGACTTGAAATACACAAAAAAAAAATCCCATAAAATAAACACAGGAGCTCCACAAGTGTCTGGTTAACCATGATTGTTCTAAAACATATTTAATTGGCTCTGTTGTTGTTGTTGTTGTCATGCCATCAAGTCGGCTCCAACCTATAGCGACCCTGTATAGGGTTTACTAGTAGTGACTAGTGAGCTTGAACCACTGACCTTGTGGTTAAACCCAACTTCGCAGTCTAGGGCATCAACCCACAGCTCCACACCAGGACTCCTAATTGGCATTAAGCTAACCAAAACCAGAACCAACTTGAAGGCACTTAACAACAACAACAAGCAAACCAGAACAAATAAAATATTGAATGACAGCTACTAGTATAAAGCTTGGTTCATTTCATCCTCTTACTGTTTATATTCTCCTCTGGGAGGCCTGGTGGCACAGTGGTTAAAGCACTAAGATGTGCTCATATGGAACCAGTACAGAGACCAAGAAGTAGTCATTCAAACTGAACAAGGGGATAGTAAGTGGTTTAAAATCAGGAAAGGTGTGTTTCAGATTGTATCCTTTCACCACACTTATTTTATCTCTGTGATGTACAAATAATTTAAGAAGCTGGACTATGTAAACAAGGATTTGGCATCAGAATTAGAGGAAGACTAATTAACAACCTGAGATTACAGATGACATAACCTTGTTTGCTTAAAGCAAAGAGGACTTGAAGTACTAATTGATGAATTACAACCTTCAGTATAGATTGCAACTCAATGAAAAGAAAACAAAAATTCTTACAACTAAACCAATAAACACCATGATAATAAGAGAAAAGATTGATGTTTTCAAGGATTTCAGTGTACTTGTATACACAATCAACAGTCAAGAAATCAAAGGTACATTGCATTGGGCAAATCGATGGCAAAACACCAAAGATGTTATGCTGAGGACCAAGGTGAGCTTAACCCAAGCAATGGTATTTTTGATTGTTTCATATGTATGTGGAAGCTGGACAACAAATAAGGAAAACCAGAGAAGAATTGATGCATTTAAATTATGATATTTACAAGGACTATGCATGGACTGGCTGAAGAACAAGCAAATCTGTCTAGGAAGAAGATCAGGCAGCTCTAGTCCTTGGATAAGGGCATCATTCTTTGTAAAGGAGATGGCTGGTGAGTAAGAGGAAGATCCTCAACAATATGGATTAAACAGGGACTGCGACAATGGGCGTGAATGTCACAATTGTGAGAATGGCACGGGACCAGCCAGGCCATGTTTGATTTTGCTGGGCTTAGGGTCACTGTGACTGGGAGTCAACTTGATGATACTAACAACAAACGACAGTGTCCTTAGATCAACAGAAATTCATAATAATTACAAAGTTCTTTAGGGTTAATACTTTTTGAATCCAGTTTAATAAATCCTGGCTTGGTCATAAAAATATTCTCCAATATTTTTTTCTTGAAGTTTGATTGTTTTAACTTTTGAATTTATGATACATGAGGTATTTGGACATGATTTCACATGGCGTAAAAAGAGCATTAAGATGGATGGTGTCTCACATGCTTTATTTAAAAGACAGAATTCAAGAAGGATATGTTCAAGGTCATATTTTGGCTCCTGTGGAATTCTTTTAATTTTCTTCAGTTTCAGCTTGAACTTGCATGTGAACAATTGATCATCTGTTCTCCAGTCAGCTCCTGGCCTTGTTTTGGTTGATGTTATTGATCATCTCCATTGTGTCTTTCCACAGATGTAAACATTTTGATTCCTGTGTATTCCATCTACTGAGGTCCATGTGTACAGTCCCCACTTGTGTTGTTGAAAAGGGGTCTTTGTAAGGAATAATTCATTAGTCTTGCAAAATTTTTTCATACATTCTCCAGCGTCATTTCTATCACCAATTCCATATTTTCCAACTATTGATCCTACCTGATCACCAGTAATTATCAGTGCACATTCATTGCATGTTTGATTAATTTTAGACTGAAGGAGATAAGTAGATTTCTTCAGTTTCATCATCTCTGGCATTAGTAATTGGTGTGTAAATTTGAATAATAGTGGTATTAACTGCTTTTCCTTGGAGATGTATGAGTTTTAGCTTATCACAGTCAGCATTGTACTTCAAAACAGATCTTTAAATGCTCTTTTTGACAATGAATGAAAGCAACAACATTCCTCTTCATTTTGCTGTTACCAGGATACTAACCAAGTAATAGTCAACACCAGTCCATTTGAGATCACCAGTCCCTAAGATGTTAATCTTTAAGTGTTCCATTTCTTGTTTGATGACTTGCAGTTTCCCAAGACTCATATATCATACATTCCACATTCTGATCATAAATGGATGTTTGTGGCTCTTCTCATTTTGCATTGTGCCCCTCAGCAAATGTAGGTCTTCAAAAATTTACTCCATCCATGTTATTAAGGTCAGCTCTACTTTGAAGATGTAGCTTTTCCCTAATTGAATTTTGAGGACTTTCCAAACTGAGGGGCTCATCTTCCAGCACTGTATCAGAAAATATTACTCTGGTATTTACAAGATTTCAGTGGCTAATCATTTAGAAGTGGTTTGCCTCTCCTTCTTCATCTTCTGCCTTTGTCTTGACGCTCCATTGAAACTCATCTACAATGTGTGACCCTGCTGGTATTTAAAATACAGGTGGCATCACTGCTAGCATCACAGCAACAAATGAGCCATCAGAGTAGGACAAACTGACAGTAGAATGATGATATTGAGCCTTATAGTTTTTGTTGAAACATTTCAATTAGCACTTCATCAAATACTTAAGGCTTGTTTTTTGCCAATATCTTTAGTTTCTAAAATTTTCTTAGTATATGTATTTAAAGTTTTCAAATTTTTCTTAGCCTGTGTATTTAAAACATTTCACTCTAAGTGAACATTTTTGTTTGTGAAGTGCCATTGAGTCAATTTCAATTCACAGCAACCCCGTTTCTGAGGAGCAGCTGGTGAGTTTGAACCAGCTGGTGAGTTGACCTGGTGATTCAAACCGACCTTGCAATCTAGTGCTTATCCTACAGTGCCACACCAAGACACATAGGTAGTATTTTAGTCTAATTATCAATCTTGGTGTTGTAATTAGAATATTTAGTACATTTGTATTTGCTGTGACGGTACACAATTAATAGTGCATCTGAATTTCTATGTATCATTTTATTGGTTTTTAGTTTTTCAACGGTTAGTTATACTTTTACTTATCCTTTCTTGTTTTTTCTTTTCTAATTGTTATTGTTAAGCACAGTTAAGTGGTATCTGATCATAGAGTCCCTGTATCAGGTTTCTGAAGATGGGTTGGTAGGTTTGAACTGCCCAACACAGTGCTTATGCCACAGCACCACACCAGAATGAGAAAGATTTATTTCCCTTTTTGTTCTTTATTAAAATTTTAGTTATTATTATTATTTAAATTTCATTTTATTTTATAGGACAATAGAGCACCTTGATACCACTAACTTATTTTTATATGTGTTCATGTGTTTTATTCATTTATTTTTTAAAAATTCAGTCTAGTTCTTACAAAATTCTTTAGCATCAGAAATAATCAGAAACCCACTGTTTCATTTGTTATGTGCTCCATGTTGTTGTTGGTAACTGCTATCAGGTTAATCATTTTATTTAATTAGTAATAGACTTTTCTATTCTTTTAATTATAAACTTTAAAAAAATAATTTTCAGAATTGTAAGGTGTGATTTGCACTTTCTCCCTTTATTTTGTACAATAATTTAATTTAATTTCTAATGTCTAAACGTGCTACGGATGCAGGTGATTAACTATTTATGTCTTTTTTATTCAACAGACATTTATTGGGGACATCCTTTTGCTTGTTAACCCATTCAAGGAGCTTCCAATGTATTCTACCATGGTAAGTGTAATATTTAAAAGATTTTGAATAGTATAGAGTTATATTAACTAAACATGTTTGTTTGTATTAAATGACTTATTAGGAGGAATAATCAAAGTAGCAGTTAAGTCATACTTGTCAGAAATAAAGCTGGTGACAGTGTAGGGTAAGCCTTGGAGTGCTAACTGTGAGGTCAATAATTCAAACCCAACCAGCCACTTCTCCTAGGGAGAAAGTTGAGGCTTTCTGCTCCCATAAACATTTATAGACTTGGAAACCCAATCTAGGGTTGCTAGAAGTCCCGGTGTGGCACTGTGGATTAATGCACCAGACTGCAAAGCCATTTGAACTTCAAGGTCAGCAGTTCAAGTTCACCAGCTACTCCTCGGAAACCCTATGCAGGGTCGCTATGGGTCAGAACTGACTTGACGACACTTCACAACAACAACAACAACATGAGTAAGAAATGACTCAGTGACAGTGCATTATTTTGTTCTTTGTTTTTTCAGAAGTAAACCTAGAAAACTCTAGATTGAATTGTTGCATGATAGTAACTATAACTTATTCTGAGACAGCTGAGAATAAGTTTTATCATGTCAAAAGTTTCCTCTGCATGTATACTGTGTAGCTCTTACTTAATTGCAATCACCAGATAGAAATATGAAATTAAATATTTTCATTGCAATCCTGTATTTTCCATACATCTTGACTAATTCTTGATAAGTTGTTGAAAGTCCTTATTTAAACCTTATGACTTGTTGCTAATAAAGTCTGTGATATTAAAGACATGAGAAAAAGGCAGGGAAATATTGCATTTATACATTTTCTCAAACACT